TAGTCATGTCCCAAGCCCTTTCTATATTTTGATTCAAGGTCTCCCTAAGTCACTTAGGGCCTTACTAAGTTGGTGAATCTGACTTTGACCTCACCATCCTCCAGGTTCAGCCTCTTGAGCCATTGAGATTACAGGCATGCACCACTGCTCCCGGCTGCATCTTTTTGAATATATATATATATATATATATATATATATATTTCTAGCAATTTTAGGTTCATAGCAAAATGGAAAGGGCACAGAGAACTTCCCAAATCTTCTGCACCTGTATATGCCTAGATTCCATCATAATCAACTTCCTTCACCAAAATAGTGCATTGTTTTATAATTGATGAATCTATGTTAACACATCTTTAAAGCTATAGTTTACATTATAGCTCACTCTTGGTGTTGTACTTTCTCTGTGTTAGGACAGATGCATAATGGCATGTTTCCATTGTTAGCACTGCCCTAAAAATTCTCTGTGCTCTACATTTTCATGCCTCATTCTTCTCCCATGCCCTGGGAACCACTGATCTTAATACTATCTCCATAGTTGTGCACCTCTTACAGAATGTCATATAGTTAGAATCATACAATATGCAGGCTTTTTATATTGGCTTCTTTCACTCAGTAATCTAAGATTCCTCAATATTTTTCATGACTCAATAGCTTGTTTCTTTTTAGCACTGAATAATATTCCACTGTTGGATTTACCAGTTTACTGAAGGATATCTTGGTTTCTTTCAAATTGTGACATTATATATAAAGCTGCTACAAAATCTATGTGCAGATTTTTGTGTAGACATAAGTTTTCAGCTCATATGGGGGAAAATCAAAGAGTGTAGTTGCTGGATTATATGGTGTGTTAAGGGTTTTTTTTTTTTTTTTTTTTTTTTTTGGTACCAGGGATTGAACCTAGAGGTGCTTAACCACTGAGCCACATCCCCAGCCATTTTTATATTTTATTTTGAGACAAGGTCTCACTAAGTTGATTAGGGCTTAGCTAAGTTGCTAAGGCTGACTTTAAACTTGTGATCTCCTACCTCATCCTCCTGAGCCACTGGGATTACAGGTATGTGCCACTGCGCCCAGCTGATTTATTTTTTTAAATTCTTTCAGTAGTTGCCCTAGCATCTGTACTATACATTTACAATTAATGCAAGTGCATTTTTAAATAATACTATACCAGTTCATGGGTAGTGTGAGTACTTTGTAATGATAAAACAATCCCAAACCCTCCCTCCATTCCTTGCATCATGTTGTCATTCACTTTATTATCATACAAACACATACATAGGTGATTCACACATAAACATACATAAACTGGGCATCATGTGCACACCTGTAATCCCAGCTACCTGGAAGGCTGAGACAGGAAGATCACAAGTTTGAAGACAGCTTGGACAACTTTGGGACCCTGTCTCAAAATAAATGATATAAAAAGGGTTGGGGTTGCAGCTCAGTGGTAAAGTGCCCCTGAGTTCAATCCCCAGTACCACAAACAAAACAGAAAAATAATAAATGAAAATACCAGAATGCTCTAGTGCATTTCAAAATGATTCCTTCTTCCGCTTTCCACCAGAAACATGAGACTTTACTCCAACATTTAATGTGAGAACTTGGTGGGTTTCCTAGAGATAAAACTCACAAAAGTTTTCTGCTTATTCTCACCTCATGACTGGGTGCCTCTGGAGTTCTTACCTCTCATATTTGTCCACTTCGAGGCTTTGGCAATTCATCAATACAGTTCTGCTTTTCCTACTTGGTGCTGACTTCTGTAGAGATTTGTACCTTGAGTCTGCTCTGTTAAGCCATGACTCCCTGTATTCACCTGACTGTCTTTCCAGTTGTGGAGGCTTTGGTTTGCCCTATATACTCAGCTGTCTGTTATATCCAAGAAAAGTTGTTGATTTTTCGGTTCTGTTGTTAAGACAGAAATGGCTACTCCCAAGCTCCTTACATGCAGAGCCAGAAACCAGAAATCTCTTCTGGAAGTATTTTTCAAATAGGACTTCAGAAAACAATTTAGTAGTATGTGTCAAGAGACTTTTTTGTTTCTATCTAAGAAAATCAGAAATGTGTTCAGATATGCAAGGATGTTCACTGAAAGACTACTTATAGAAAAAATTGGAGCATACAATAACAAATGGATGGTTAAAGTTTGAGGCATCTGTGAATGGATACTATGGAATAATTTTTTGTGTGTATGTTTTCAAAGAATGGTTAAAAGAATACCAAAACATGAATCACATGTCAAGTTAAATATAGAATTGCATAAACAGTTAACCTTGAATTCCTTTAAAAATTATATAGAGGGGAATTGCATGGAAGATGGAAGGAAACCCTCATCATTATACAAAATACATATATGATGGTGTGAGGGGGAAGAAAAAAAAGAGAAATGTGTCACAGTAGATTGGGTAGAGACAGGTGATGGGAGGGGAGGGGAGTGGAGGGGGGGATAGGAAGGGGAGCAGAATACAACAGACACTAGTTTTGCTGTATGTATATACGTGACTGTATAACCAATATGATCCTGCAATCTGTACACGTGGAAAAATGAGAATTCATACCCCATTTGAATCAAATGTAAGATATGTCAAGATCATTGTACTGTCTTGAGCAACTAATAAAAAAATTATACAGAATAAATATGAGAATTTAACTACTGGCAGGAAATATATCAAAATGTTTACTAGTTATTTCTGGGTTTATGAATGACTCACTTTCTTCTTTTACTTTACTTTTTATTTCCTTTGCATATTTTCTACCAACCCATATATTATATTTAGAATAGAAAAAAACCTGTAGTTTAAAAAAGATTAAAAAAGCAGTTGTGTCTACATGCAAATGAGTAGATTTCTGAATATGGGACACTTTATATATACACTGTGTGTGTGTGTGTGTGTGTGTGTGTGTGTGTGTCTGTCTGTCTGTCTGTCTCATGAAGTTGCTCAGACCAGCCTCAAACTTGTGATACTCCTGCCTCAGGCTCCTGACTAGCTGAGCTTACAGGTGTGCACTACCACACCTGGCCTGAAGCCCTTGTTTTATAGCGGAAACTGAGGTACGAGATGAGCTTAACTGGGCCTTAGAATCCTCACATATGATCTGCCCAAAGTCAGCCTCAGTATTAGGTAGAGTATCTGATAGACAGGAGACAAAGTTTGTTGACTTACTTATTTTTTTGTGGTGCTGGGGATCCAACCTAGGACGTGCTCAGATATGCAAGGATGTTCACTGAAAGACTACTTATTTCAAAAATTGGAGCATACAGCATATGAAGCAAGTGCTCTACCACTAAGACACATACCCAGCCCTGATACCCAATTTCCCCTGCACAGTGAAAGGGTCTTTCAAATAATAGATGCAATCTAGCTGGACACAGTGGCACACACCTGTAGTCCCAGCTCTTCAAGAGACTAAAGCAGAAGGATCACAAGTTCAAGGCTAACCTCAGCAACATGGTGAGACCCTGTCTCAAAATAAAAGATTTTTAAAAGGATGTAGCTCAGTGGTAGAGCAAAATGAAACAAAAGCAAACACATGGTGCAATTGAATCCTCTCAACTCCTTGCTCACTCCTTTCCAGGACCTTTGTCTGAGAGCCCAGGTGCCTCTACAGAGCAAAGACCATTATTCACCAGAGTTATTTGTCAGTTTCTCCCCAGTGAACTAGTTATAGAACAAAGCCCTTGGTTTTGTTTTGGGGGTACTGGGGATTGAATACAGGGGTGCTGTACCACTACGCTATGTCCCCACCTCTTTGATGGATGAGGAACTGAATGAAGCTCAGAAGTCAAGTATAAGATCTCAGAACAGAAAGTGGCAGGGGTAGGACTCAAACCTAGGTTTTCTTTTTGTTATACTCTAAGTCACTGGATTTCAGATGTGAATCCTAAAACAACAGCATCCTATCACTTTGGAATTGTTAGAAATATAAATTCTCAGCCCCCATTCCAAACCTATCAAATCAGAAACCCTGGGTATGAGGCCTAGCAATCAGTACCTACCCTCTATTCCAAGGTTTTACTTCCTGAGAAAACAGTTCATGAGGTCAACCATGGTCAAAATATTTAAGTGGAGGGGCTGGGGTTGTGGCTCAGCGGTAGAGTGCTTGCCTAGCATGTGTGAGGCCCTGGGTTTGATCCTCAGCACCACTTAAAAACAAATAAAATAAAGATATTGTGTCCAACTACAACTAAAAAATAAATATTTTTAAAAAATTTAAATGGAAAATTCCAGAAATAATCAATTCATAAATTTTAAATTGTGTGTTTTTCTGAATAGCATGATAAAATCTTACACCCTCCCACCTAGGATATGAATCATTCTTTTGTCCAACATCTCCATGTTGTCTAGGCTACCTATCCATTAGTCACTTAGTGGCCATGTTGGTTATCTATGTTGGCTAACTATTGCAGTATCACAGTCCTTGGGTTAAAGCAACCTTTATTTTACTTAATAACTGCTCCAAAGGACAAGAGTAGTGATGCTGGTAATTCAGATATGCCAAAGAGAATCCATACAGTGCTTTCTTCACGTGAATAGATAAAAGCTTATTATAGATATGTATGTATAGGAAAAAAAAACATAGTATATATGGGGCTTCGTACTGTTACAGTTTCAGGCATCAACTAGGAGTCTTGGAATATATCCCTCAGAGGGAGCTACTATATTTTAACAGGCCCCCTGGTGATTTGATGCATACTAAAGTTTTAGAACCTCTTCTTAGATGCATGAATTACTGATGGATGGGGGATACAGAAACTTCAAGACTAGAACCTTTCTCCCAAGTAGTCCTAGATATGCCAAGGCTAGCACTTGCACTAGACCTAGATAAGGCAGCCTACCCAGGACCCGGTGGAGATGTTGGCCAGTCAAGCAGTCCAGGCTGGAGAAGGAGCTGCTAGTGGCTTTTTGAGAACACAAAGGATCTTAAGCCTCACAAGTTCAAACTTCTTGTTTCAATTCAAGGCACCACCATACTGTCACTGCTGCTACTTGCCTGCTACATACCTGTGGGGATTTACACCCACTCAGTTGAGAGATGGCTCTGGATTACTCCAGCCTGGGAATGAGGTGTGTTTGACAGATCTACCCCACTGGGTAGATTAAGCATAATGAAGAGCCCAGGTGAAGATGGATGTCTCTCTTCTGTCACCCAGTACTGCTTTTAATGTGATCTGTGGGAGAGAAGAGAGCCACTAAAAGCTGTGGATTTCCCATAGGGCACCTGGGTTACTGACATCTAAGAGATAGGAGGGACTCATTCTACAGAGTGAAGGAAGAAGAGCAGAAAGGACTTAGTATCCCTGTGTAATCTGCAGCACCTTGGGAACATGGAAGGGAGGGTAAAGAAGAATATGGGAACATGAGCCAGGTGGGAGATTATCATACCCCAAAGTCTGCAGTGTCACTTCCAACCTCTGCAAAAGAGCTGCCAGTATCTTGACACAGTAAGATTCTAAACTAGAAGTTCACCAGGCTTCAGGTGAGGAGAGTGGAAACCTCTAAACCTCGCTAGATATGAACCTCCTGTTTCCTCCAACCACCATGGAGGGAAGAGGGTTTGTTGACCCCAGATTGGAGAATCAGCCTTTGGTCTTTTTGTTTTTGTGTGCTTGCCTTGTGCCCTAGGCATGGAGTCCAAGGACCAACTGTCTGCCGGATGCATGCTTCCAGTCCTGATCTGTACACAGTCTCACTCACTCAGCCAGGACCTTTCCCCTTTAGCTGAAGTTTCCTAGAAATGTGGCCATCCAGTGTTATGATTCAAGTGGGGCTCAGTCCTGAGGGACAGTGTGTCAGGGTGGAGTTGGTACTGTTGGATCTTTAATGCCGCACCCTGCTTCTGTCCCTGTCCCTGTCTGTCTCTGGTTTTTCACAGCAATCTGTGTAATTTAATGCTCATCCACACCCCTTGTTGTGAACTGCTGTCAAGAGGGTTTGGGGCGGGGAAGCAAAATCGTGCAAAGCCTATGACTTGTTCTGGTTGCCACAACAGCATCTTGGTAAACGGGATCCCAGGCTGCTGCTGCAGGCAATCACAGCCAGTGCCTTTCTGGCACTGGGGAGCCTCCAAGCTCCAGAGACCTGAACTTTCAGACAAGAGTCTTTGAAACTCCAGAAAAGCTGAGCTTTCTCTTCTCCATACAGGAGAAAGATGCAACCTGAGTGTAGAGGGGGTAGCTTGAAGAGGAGACAGGTGGGTAGAAAAGCAACAGGTAGACAAGCTTTCTGCTCAATACAGTTTTCATAATATCTCCAAACCCTTAGAACTCAGTATTGCCTGTGCAGCCTCCAAAATGCTTTCCACTGTAATAGTGGCTAGCACGGACTGTCACTGTGAAGGGGGAAGGAAATGAGAGGAAAGAGCAAAAAACCCTCTTATTTTGTTTCCCACTCTCCTGCAGTATTATAATAGGATCTGCAGTATTTTTTCTCCTCCCATAAGAATTTGCCTTCCTCCCCCACCATCCCTATGTGACCTACTTATCTATTCCCTTTAAAGGGAGGAACCCTGGAAGTCATCCCAACCGAGGGTGGTTCTGTCTGAATTTCAAAGAGGCAAATTCTTTAATAAGGAAAAATTGGAGGCTGTGGTAGGGGGCAAGGAGGTAGTAGGAATATTGTGAAAGATTGGGGAGAGAGGGAAAATTATATTCAGTGGAATCAGAAAACAGTATTTGGTGACCTGCCATAGGCCATTCATCCTCGTGACTGATTTGTGCCATGACTAAGGGGAATAGGTTTTGGGTCCATCTTAGAGTGCTGGAAACAGCAGATGTTGACTGCTGGAGAGAGTGTACACCAGATAAAAATAAAATGAAATACCAGCTCTTGTGGGTTTACCACTTTCTGCCCCTAGTTCACTGAGCTCTGATCTAATTTCTGACCTCATCTACAAAATGGGGATATTAATTTTACCTCAGACAATTAATAAGATTAAATTATTCACCCCATTCTCTGTACCCTTCTACAGAAAACTAGACTAGGTTTCAGAACAATGGCACATAGATGATGGCATTTATTTATAAGTTCTATGAGAGGCACTGCATATACATTGTAACTCTCTTAATTCTGTGAGGGGAGGAGCATTATGCCCACTGTATCAGTAAAGAATCTGATACTTAGAGAAGTCATTTGTGCAAAGTTGGGCAGGTAGCAAGAAGCAGAGCTGAGGTTCAAACTCATGCTTATCTGATTTAAAGCATATGCCCCTGTCCTCTTCTAGATTGTAATATCATTGGCCTTAATGAGGAAGGATCTGTAAAATCCTCTTCCTCAAATCTTAAGTAAATTTAGAATGCTGAGTCAGATTGATGTTAGAGAAATAAAATAATAATTGGGTTGTATAATGCTATCATTTTATGCTAATCTTGGCACTGAGGAGAGATTCTCTTTCAGTCTGGAAGACATTAACTGCCTATCTGGTCTCTAGCCGCTGGGCCTCCAGGCTGGCCTGCTTCCAATTCATTCTCCTCACTGTAGCCACAGAGAACATTACTCTGCTTCTGTCAGTGGTTCTCAGCTGCCCTCAGGATTACATCCAAATTCAACATAGCCATGGCCTAGTCTGTTCTTTGCCCTACCCTATTTTTATCAAATGTATTCATATTGCTCACTAAATATGATTTTATAATGTAAAATTTTTGAAAGAATTTTTAATGATTTGAATTTTGGAATTATTAATTAAAATTTCAGTTTTCATATGTAGGTTCCAATATTTTTTTCTCAGGTCTGAAATATGGAGGACCTTTGGAAAGCTCATAGCCCCAAGTACTGGGCCCACAGTGTGTCCTGGGTGAAATAGACCTGTGTATAGTCCTTGTCTATCTCCTCTGCATGCCAGGCTTTGTGTAAATACTGTTTCCTCTTCCTAAAACCTTCTCTTTCTACAATTGTACACTGCCCACATAGTCTCCCTTCCCTTACTGCCCTGTAGTCTTTTAAATATTTTTTTAAATTAATCAATTAATTAATTTACTCTGTGAAGGATCAAACCCAGGGCCTTGTCCAAACTAGGCAAATACTCTAATTCTGAGCTAGCTACACACCCAGAGCATTATTTTGACACATATATGAAATCTCTTGGTTTCTTCATCTGTAAAATGAACCAACTTCATAGGTTATTAAGAGGATAGGATCAAGGGTGGGGATGTCACTCAGTGATAGAGTGCAAGGCCCTGGGTACAATCCAAATGTAAAAATAGATAGATAGATGGATAGATAGATAGGTAAATTTAGACACCAAGGCCTTGCTATACAAATTATGATCCATGAATTATCATCTGGGATCTTTTCAAGAATGCAGAATCTTGGGCCCCACCCCAGATGTTCTGAGTCAGAACCTGCATTTTAAGGAGATTTTCCAGGTGATTCAGTTGCACTGGTATACTTAGAACAATACCTGTTATATAGTTATATAATCAACACTGATTAAATGATAATCACTATTATTGTTGTCAGGATTATTATTTTAGGGGATAGAGGTCTTGCTATGTTGACCAGGCTGGTCTTGAACTTCTGGGCTCAAGTGATCCTCCTACCTCAGCCTCTAGAGTAGCTGGGACTATGGGCACACACCATCACACCCAGCAGTTGTTAGGATGATTAAAGGTCAGGTTTTTGCAGTCTCCTAGTTACCTTTTTTCCCTTCTTTAACTTCCAAACACTAGTTCAATGGTTTCCAAATGGTAATCCTGGGGAACACTGGCATCCTGGGAGCTGGACCTTGGAATTTCAGCTTAATGCAGAGGTTACAGTCAGGACATAGTTCATGCACTCAAGTAGCTACTTACCTCCACAGGGGGTGTCAGTTAAGAAAATAAGCAATTTCAATAGGTGGTGTTCTGAGGGCTACCAAAAAAAGAAAAAAAGAAAAGAAAAAAAAAGGGAGGGGGGAGTAGAAGTGCTGTAGGAGGCTTGTGGAGTCAAAGAAAAGTGTTAATTAAGACCTGAGAGAAGAGTTGGTAATTTAAGATTACCCACAAAAGTGTCAGAATCCTCTCAGACTGCTCCCATGATGTGAGGGGAAGGGGGTTCCAGAAGAGATGTGGGAGGAAAGTAAGAACACTCATCTGATGACAAAGAGCAGCATGGGGGGTGTAGTCCAGTGGTAGAGCATTTAATGGGCAAGGCCCTGGGTTCAGTTCCCAGCAACGGGGTGGAGGTGGGGGGTGTGGGGGGTTGCCGATTGGGGTGGTGGGTGGGCAATAGCCTGTGGAAAACGGTGGCTCAAACTACTGTTTGACAGTCCTCATAGGGGGAACTCTCCCATAGGGGGGACTTTCTTTATGTGTGGGAAGTACCCACCTTCTTCCTCCCACTCTCTGCTAGAAAGAACTTTAACCTTGCTGCAGGAACATCTATTGCCCCTGATGTTTGCTCCCCAAACAAACAAGAGAACCCAGGGGGATTTGAATCTGGACACTACTTGGTGTCCTGGTATGAAGCTGAGTCACTAAGAATTGGCTGCTTGCAAACCAGACTCTCAGTAGTTCTGATTTGCGAGGGTAGGGGTGGGGTGCGAGGGAGAGGGGGAGGGCCTCAGGCATCCTACCAAGTGTCTTGCTTTGAGCTGCATCCCCAGCCCAACTACTGTATTCTTAATATCTCAGAGCCTTGGTTTCTCCAGGCCAGGAAGATGCTACACACTCCCCCAGGGTCTTGGGAGTTTTAAGAGAGAAGATATTGTGTAAAGTTCTGGTTGCACAGCGGTGTTTCTGAATCCAGGGTTCCTTCTCATTTCCCCTTTACTTAGTTTGTGAACTGTGTAGCTGGGTTGATTTAGGCCTGAAGGCTGGAATTTCTGGAAATGCAAACATTTCTTCTGAGTACTTACAAATAATGAGATAGGCTGCTCCTGTGGAGTCTGCAAACAGTAGAGGCCACTGAACAAGCTGGAAGGGAGGAGGGTCAGTTAGGGCCGCAGGTGGGGTGGTTCTGAAAGGAAGAAAAGGCCCACTGTTTTCCTGGAGCCTAACCTTGATAGAGGTTCTGAAAGCCCCCAGGGGACCGACCCGACACAGTGGGGCCTTGGTGCTTCTCGGGCAGCCTGCCTGCCCTTCAGGGGCGTATTCCCGCCAAGGCCTTCCTGGGGATGTGAATATTCTTTTCATAAGAAGGAGGCCGTGGCCTCTGAAGGATCATTCGGGAGAGCAGGCTTTCCCCCTGCCCACGCTCGCAGGGAAGGGCCAGCGTAGGGCGGAAGAGGCCGCGGCCAGGCCGCAGGGCATTGGCCCGGGAGGCGGAGGCCAAGAGCGCGCCGAGGAAGGAGGAGGCTGAGGCCGGCGCTCGGGCGGCGTGGAGCGGGGTCTGGGGACCTGTGGCCCGCATCGTCCCGACCGGGAGGGGTCGGAGCCTGCAAAACAAGACCAGCTGACCCAGGCAGGGCCGGGGAGGGGAAGTCGGCCCAAGGGCACACTTCCCCCCATCCGCCCCGGGGCCAGGGGGTGGCCTTGAGCTTCGGTTACTCGGCTAAAGTATCTCCACCTTCTTCCCCAGCGGAAGGCCGAGGGCATCCCCTCACCCTTTTCTAAAGCAAAACCAGCCCCGGCGCACTCCCCCCTCAGCCCAGCCCTCCGCCGGCCGAGAACCGAGCCGCAGGCTGGGGGAGGGCAGAGTCCTCTTCCTGCCTGGCCCTCGCGGTGAAGGCTTGCTGACGGGGGTGGGTGGAGCTCAGCCCGGCTATTTCGGTTCCTTTTTTGCAGGAGAGTTTTTGGTTTCCTGCTGAGTTACCCCTAGGCTTCCCTTAGGTTATTAATAATGAAGCTATCACTTTCTGAGCGCTCTGTATGGAGCAAGCATTTTTACATTTTTTTCCCTGATTTTTTTTTTCAGGGTGAAGTATCATTAACCCCAATTTACTGATGAGAAAATTTGAAGTTCAGAAAAGATCATTTATAGCTTGCAAGGGACTCTCACCTGAGATTCACAGCCCAAGTTGTCCCATTCTAGGTGAGGCCTCTGCAGGACCACGTCAAAGACTAAATAAAATTCGACTCTAACACTGTTGACTCTAGCGTTGTGCTCCAAGACAGATATTTTCTGGGCCCTACTAAGAAATGACCTACCTCTAAGGCAGTGTTAGAAAGGATTTCCACTACAGACTGTCTTTAGCACTAGGGTCTGATAAACCTAGGAATCTGGAATGCTTTCCTGAATTCCAAGAGAAACATCTTGGCTTGGGGCACTTCTTCCTCCCCTTCTCAGGACCCCTGCTTACCTCTTTAGCCTTTAAAAAAGTTTTTTAAAATAAAAATTGAAACTGACTGTTAAGATGAGAAGTCACAAGGCACTTGAGATGAATTGACTGTAGCTGGTACTGAAGCCTTGGAGTCACAATACCTTTATTTATTTATTTTTATGTGGTGCCAGGGATCAAACCCAGTGCCTCATGCATGCTTGGCAAGCACTCTATCTCTGACCCACAGTCCCAGCCCTCTTTAGCCTCTCACAGAAAATTGAGGCTTTGCTTTTGTCTAGAACTGAGAAAGCCAGGAGTGGGAAAAGTGGGACAGGTTCAGAGTGCTCAAGAAGGACCACAGTTTCCTGCGTCCTGTCCTACTAGTCAGGACCATGTCCCTAGAACATCTCTTCCCAAGTGAGAAGGTAGGTCTGTTTGAGAAGATGTAAGTGGTGGTTTTGCAAGCCAGAAAATACTGTACACATGGGAGGCAGGATTTTTTTTATTTTTATTTTTATTTTTTTGCTGAATTATCAGTAGGGTGATAGCTGGGTTTTTATTATTTGAAAATCATATAAGCAAATTGTCAAATAATTTCATCTCCTGAGCATGATTACTTAGAAAAAGGCCTGAAAACTACCTGGAGGACCCATACCTTAAAATCTCTAGACATGGGGTATGCAGATAATTTATGCAGATCACATCTAACCCCCATTTACTACCTAAAGCCTTCTATTTGTGTGGTTCTGATGTTAGGAGCAGTCTGCAACATTGGAGCTATGGGAGAGAGGGGTAGGATTCTTCTTTACATATAAGTAAACACAGTACAGGACACTTAAAAATAAAATTGGGAACACATTCTATTTTATTAAATAAAATGTTTCATTCTAGAATAGGAAACAAAGCCAATTAAGAAAAATAAAATAGTCTGGGACTATGGCTCAGTGGTACAGCACATGCTTAGCATGTACAAAGTTCCAACACCATACCAAACCAAACAAATCCAAAAACTAAAATAAAAATTGAAACTGACTGTTAAGACGAGAATAGAAGTCACCAAGCACCTGAGATGAATTGATGACTGTAACTGGTACTAAAGGCTTAGAGTTAGGGAGAAGCCCACAGTAGTTTTGCTCCAGAATGAACTCTATTGAAAGAATTAAATTTTTCTTAGTCCAGAAGTCCTGACATCTCTCTTAAAAAAAAAAAAAAAAAAAAAAAAAAAACCAAAACTTTAGTTTTCCATTTGCAAAATGAAGGACTTCGGATATGATGGTTCCTAAGTTGCATCTGAGTTTGGAAACTCCTGATTCTTCAATGCTCAGATATTTTCATTTAGTGATGTTCAACTCCTCCATTTTAAGAACGTGTTAATCATCTGACTAACTGCTCAGCTTTCCTGCTTTATGAGATCATCATTTGTCAGTTCCAAGTGCATTTGGCTGCCAGAGAGCAAACATTCCATGTGTGAACAGGGAATACATATTGCTGTGACAATAGGTCTGGCAAATTTGAGGGATATTGATTTAATCCCAAACAGCACTACATACAATGTCATTTCCAAAAACCATTAGGGTTCTGGACCTGTACAAAACTTCCTAGTTTGCTTTCATGTAGCGTGGATCTTAATTTCTCAGGGTTTGAGAAGCCAAGAATTAGGGTTCTAGAAACCTTATACCATATGCCTACATTTCTCGAAAAGTTATCAGGGCAACCTCTCACCCTTAGTGATTTAGTATGCTTGTGCCATCATTAGCCTAAACTGAGCTTCTACTTGATATAATCTAGGAAGGGGCTAAACCCTGTCCTCAGGGTTCTTACCTAGAGATCTCTGTATATTACATGACTAAATACAGTCACAACAATGGTCAAGTTCTCTCAGTAACAACTCTCACATAGTTTCCAGAAGGCATCAGTAGCTCCTTAGAGGTACCTCAAACCTTCAAGTCCATAGAAGGATGGAGCCATATATTTGGCTGAGACTGGGGGTTTTCTTTCTTTCTTTTTTTTTGGTTATTTCTCACAGTGTTCAAAGTGCTATCATGGAGGCACATGCAAGATATAGAAACAAAGAAAAGGGAGGAAAGGAGTATGGAAAGGGCCAGGTGCTGTGGTGCACACCTGTCATCCCAGAGGCTTGGGAAGCTAAGGCAGGAGGATGGCAAATTCAAAGCCAGCCTCAGCAACTTAGTGAGACCCTGTCTGTAAATAAAAAATTAAGAAGGGCTGGGGATGTGACTTGTGGTTAAGCATTCCTGAGTTCAATCCCTGGTACAAAAAAACAAAACAAAACAAAACAAAACAAAACAAAAACCAGGGGTTATGGAAAGGGGTACATTTATTGAGCACCTTCAGCACAGTGGTTAGGCATAGAGGCTCTGGAGCTGGACTTGGGTTTGAATCCTGGATTTGCCATTTTCTTGCTGTGCTGTCGACCTTAAGACAAATTACTAAGTCTGTCTATGCCTCAGTTTTTTTATAAAACTATTGTGAGGATTAAATGATAATTCATGTAAAGCACCAGAGCAATGTCTGCCCCATGTAAGTGCTATGTAATTGTGACTTATTTTGACAAGTCCTATGCTAACTGCCTGATATATTATTTGACGTTAACTATAATTCCTTTCAAAAAGGAAAATACATGAAATTACTGAGTTATTACCACACTAGTTTGTAACAAATGTCTGTGGCTAGAAATATATGAGGAAGGATGGACCAGGCCCTTGTGTCTTTTACTAGTTCCTTCTACATAAAGGGTTTCCTACTTTGCCTACTGGCTTTGTCTTTTCTTTTCTTCTGCACAATAATAATATGAATTGGAAATCTCTCTATGTCAGAATATATAGATACATTTTATTGTTGTTTTGAGAATTGAATCCAGAGTTGTGTGTGTTCAACCACTGACCTATATCTGTAGCTCCCTATTGTTGTTATTATTATTATTTAGCACTGAACTACATCCCCAGACCTTTTTACTTTTATTTTTTTTAATTTTGAAACAGGGTCTCACAAAGTTGCTGAGGTCTCACTAAGTTGCTGAGGCTGATTTCAAGTTTGCAATCTTCCTGTCTCAGCCTCCCCAACCGCAGGGATTACAGGTGTACACCACTGTGCCTGGCCCCTATTATTATTATTATTATTATTATTATTATTATTATTTTCCTAGCAGAGGTTGAACCCAGGAGCACTTAACCACTGAGCCACGTCCCCAATCTTTTTTTATATTTTATTTAGAGACAGAGTTTCGCTGAATTGCTTAGGGCCTTGCTAATTTGCTGAAGCTGGCTTTGAACTCACAATCCTCCACTGGGATTACAGACATGGGCCACCATGACCAACCTCTCTTATTATTTTTAACTATTGCAGAGACTTGCATACCATGTATATGCACTAGACAATTTACATATTTATAAAACAGCACACAGCATCATTCCCCAAAAAGTTTGTAATTTTGGAGGGGAATCTCGGAACTTATATGAAATCTTCACAGTACAAGAATCTATGTAAAAAATATTCCATTTGATTTGAAACTAAGTGTCAATGCTAGTATGATACTTGGTGGCCAGTGAAAAGATACAATTGAATAGAAAAATAACAAGATATTGAGCATATGTTAGAAATGGGGTCTGTCTCCTGGAAGCCCTGGCTGGAATAGAGAAGAAATTTACCCTCTAGGTCTTGCTGAAAAATTACTCAAGACAAGAAGGACAAGTCTACACTCCCTTAACAAGCTGCAACACAGCAGCAAGGGTGTCTGGGCTGGAGGTGGAATGCAGCAGGCCTGGGAGCTCTGCAAGTTGCTCAGCATGTGGGCAGCAACTTCCTTCTGGAACAAAGCAGGGGCAGGTCTTGCTCCCACCTTTTCACAGAGCCTAGCCTTGTTCTCCTTGAATCACACTTGGTGCATGTCCCCCAAGGCAGTGTCTCTCTACTCAAGGAGCCAGAATGAGAACTCCCTTTTTCAGGTCCTTAATCCTTGGTTTGGCCCTGATTCCTCGGGAAGAACTCATGGGGATGAGACAACAGTTGCCCTATAGGGCAAAGCAGGGGACATACTGTGCTTAGGTATTCGTAAGCTTTTGCCAAGGCTGTATTTCTTTTACCCCACCCCTAAGTATTAATCACTCCCTAAGCCAGTAACATCTGTTTGCCACAGAGAATTAGGTTGTGTCAAACCCTACACTTGGCATTTCTTCCACAAGGTCCTACCCAACAGCCTTTTAATAACTTAGCTGGGCAAACTTTTCGACCCCAACCTTGTCCACCTATACTTCCATATATGCCTTTATTTTTATACTGATGGGATTAGTTAGTAATCAATTAATAGAAGAATA